ATTCATTTACTCGCATTGCCATTTTTCACCTACCAAATAGCTTTTCGGCACTTTTGTGTTAAGTTTGAAACGAATAGTATTGATTATGAGAGCAAATTTACTCGCGACTAGAGTGTGTATATCAGCGTCCCAGTCACTCCATCCATGCCATATCTAACTCTTCTGGCGTTGCCGAGCTAGTGTGTCTTGATTGATTGATTTCCGAACAACTGCGTATACACATCCCGCGCATCTTATAAGCGCCGGAGGTTGGTCTATGACCAGAGTCGATCTTATCTCGTTCAAAGCTTCCCAGCCTCCACAGTGTTTCTAGCCGAAGTGTGCTCGTTGTTTCAGCAACGGCACATTATATCCATCCAGTAACTGCTGTCGTCTGAAACATTTTTTCACTACGTGTCTGCCTTTCATTAATTTTATTGCACACTGCCCAGCTTTTATGCACGCTTATAATTCGTACTCGTGTATATTTTCGCGCGTTTTATCTTTGTTATAGCTTTCCGCATTTTCTGGTTTTTTGTCCTCGCTCTGTTACCTACCCGAATTCGTGCTGAGCCATATTTAAGCAGTGTCTTGACGTTAACTGAAACGAGCTGAAAATATCCACAGAAACCCCCTATAAACCAACAAAATGGCTCTCTAATTAGTGGCTCGGTTCTAAATCTAAAGAGTCCTTTTACTCGCCGCCGCTGTCGTCTGCCTTCCACAAGCGGCCGCGCAACATGTTACATGCAATATACAAACCGAACAAATATAGGTAGTTAGCGATCTTTTATCCCAAAAGTTTCGCCTGCTCCGCATCCTTGTTGGAGGTTGCTGTTGGACGTATTCAAATCCTTACAATCGGCCGCCAGTACGACCCCATTGATCTGTTGTAGCTGAAGCTTGGTCCTAGCATCACAGGCAGCCATTTCTCCTGTAGTTTTTACATATACTACCGACGATCTCTCATGGACACACGTGTGGTCGTGTCCAGAAATGCGTTGACCTTGTTGCTGCTTCTACTGAAGTCGTACAACTGGTTCGTTTAGCTCGACGTATAAGACGTTTCTGTTGAGCACGCGGGGTACTTTGTCTCACCTTTAATTAGCAAATCGTTTGCTGTCTATCACGTTTCCTACGAATGCTTCTTTTCCCACTCGCTCCTCTTGTGTGCCCAGCAAACCATTCCCATGTTGTCCTCTACACTACCCTAAGCACACCCCTAACATGCGCACACTATCGGGGTTAGGCCGGTCCTTGTTGTTGTTCGTGTTCAGACGTACAATTAATACTTGGGATCCCTTTCAGTAGATACTAGGTCAGATGTGGAGAGCGCCAAATGTGCACTGATTTGCTGGCTTTTTGGACTTGTGTAATTTGCGCTTTTGTCTCTTTTTTATGCATAAATTTCCCTCTGCAGTGTTTTGGAAACAACGCTATGGCAACACCATCATCTCAGGGTCTGGATTTAATCAAAGCAACATTCCACGGTGATGAGGCTCATTCCCACATCTTTGTGGTTTTAGGTGCATCGGTAGGTCCTTTTGTGGCTTACGGCAAACCTCTCCCAACCTTTTAGGGTGACTTAGCCAGAAAAAAGATCTACCCTACCCTATGGTAAGTCCTCCATGTGTGTAACTTAATGATCGCTTTCAGGTGGCTGTTTCGTGATGGTCTCTTGCCACACAAGACCTTCATCATTGGCTATGCCCGTTCAGACATCACCATTGAAAACATTCGTTCAAAATCGGAACCCTACATGAAGGCAAGTTATTGGCTTTTGTTTGTTTCCTGCGTTGTCTTGCTTAATCGTCAACCCCTATTGTTAGATCATCTTAAGCAGTTCCCCCCCCCCACATCAAATATACAAGACTGCGTTATGTTTAATGCTGCATACTAGCCGTTACCTTTGTATATTCTCGAGATTTTCGTCATACCTTACTGTAGACAGCTTGTTGTGAAGCCGGAATGTCATTCCGTTTTTCTTTAAAGAATACTTTGTTGAGGATTTCCGCGTTGGCGTCTCTCGCAGTCGACATTTCAGTCCTCTTGGGAAATGATATCATCGAACGTATGTAGTCTTTGAGGAGTGGAAGTCTCTTGGTAATAAGGCGTCCGTTGACGTCGTCTAACAGGCAGGACATTAGGCTCTTATAGTCGTCCATGATGTCGAAGGCGACCATGACTTCTCGTCGGGTTTTTTTTAAAAATTCTCCCCAGAAGAAGATACTTATGGCACCCGCTTCCATCAGTTGGCTTTGTTCAGGGAAATGGGTCTCACTGAGAGCCGCAATGTCCAATTTCTATTGGCTAGTTCATAGGCGAACCAAGCCCTGTTCATTTCCAGACGATTTGCCTGCGGCTTGTCTAAAAGAGAACGAATATTCCAGGTTATAAGAGTTAACAGTTTCACTTTCAAGCATCTGCTAAAGAAAATAAAGTTCCATCCGTGGACATTATGAGTTTCGGCATTATGCATCGATTTGCTATCATGAACCCAGCTGTGGAATCTTGAACTAACTAGAATTAAGTCGATCTGACTAGCCGTATAACCGTCTTTTGGATGCTAGCTCAGCAAATGCTTGTGCCAATTCTGGAAGCGCTTGTTGGTGACAAACAGTCGGTCCTGGTCAGCACCATTGTCACATCTAAAAGCAAGTCTCAAAAGACCAGTAAGGTGACTATTTAGGGAGTCGCCAGGTCCTGTCCGGCCATTCTCAGTCCTGGAAACAATCAGCAGACCACTTCAGGGAAGTATTTCAAATAACGTTTGCATTAGCGAGTAAAAACCCCCTTTATTGCTCTCGTCGGTCACTAGTGTTTTTGTATACTCAAAGACAACAGATATGCCCATAAGGGGACCTAGATCATCCCGTCTCTAACTGAGTTTAAAGGTAATAGTGCACTGTTCGCTTATTGCGAGAGTTGTCTGGGTCGCTGTATTTCCCCAGCGCCTGAGTTGGGAATTCGTATTTCGGACATACAGCAGACATCCACGTTGTAGTGATGAAGCCTACGCGCCGTCAGAATTTGGGTACCAGGGTTGAAGAACTTTCGCACGCTCCGGTATCCCATACGAACAGTCCGTTTCAGATTGAGCAGTCTAGCTCCCATACTATTCGCCTAACACCATTGGACCCGGGCCACGGAGCGCGTTTGTGTCCGCGGACGCGTTGATCCAAAACCTTACCAAAAGGCAGTGATACTAAGCAACCTCTGTTCTCCGTACCCTACTTGTACTTGATCCGATTAGCTCCTGTTGTTGGATGAATCGGCTTCACG